TTCAAAGTTCAACACCCCTATTAAATTATACATAATCACTATTTCTAACTATTTCTAACTATTATTCTATGGTATACAATATAAATAAAAGAAAAAAATCAAAAATAGGTTAGGAAATCTCTAAAAGCGCCTCCACTGTGCTTGCTGTTTATAAATATTGTAGGAAAAGTTTCTTTGACGTCCTGTGAGCTGGTGGAGACAAGATCCTTAAATCTGAGGTTTAAACTGTTATTAAAAATAGTGTTATGGAAAAATATCAAGCAGTGTAGTATACGCCTGTTCTGCATATTCATGTACAAAATTGGATCATATTTCTTTATACCATAAACTGTAGACAGTTTTTTGTTCTCTCTCAATTCTATTTGTGTCGATTTTGTCTAAGCATGGACCATACAAAATGTCATACCAGTGAAAATAACTTAACACTTAAGAATCTGCTACTTTTATTTTTTGAATTTCAGATAAAGAGTGGCGATGCGAATAAAGCAACTTTAAGGAGATGTATGCCCTTTGTAAATATTACCCATTGACATAATTTGTAAACTGTAAAACTCAGCCACTCACTTATATGTTAAGTTCAGACACCAAACGATCCCCACTCTTTCCAAATATGTTGCCGTTGTCCTGTTAAACAACCCAAACTAAAGCTTCCTCTTAATTGACACTTAACGGCGTTCTGTAGCGTAGTTCCAATATAAGTAACTTTTTTTTTGTTTTTTTCAGAACAGATATTTATTGTGCTTATTATTATTATTATTATTATTATTACAATTGCAATGACTGTTTGACCTAGACAGCTGGGTTTAAAAACCTTACATGTGACAAAATCCAAAATTAATTAATTTATAAAATTACAAACCTACAAACCTATTTCAAATCAGAACAGTTAAATTAACTAAACAATTAAATTCAAGCATACCGCCGAACCTGGTAGATTTTTCTAGAATTTTTGGCATCTCCGCGAAAATATCGTTATTGTCTAATTTTCCACAAAGGAAGCACAGTATAAATTGTAGTTTTATAACTATGGTGCCTGCTTGGAAGAATGTTTATGAATGTATGTATATACATGTACTCAAGGTAAACAATGTACTAACAGTGCAGAAAGTATCGCAGTAGAGGCCCTTTTAAACATAATTTTAACTACAATATTTTGTACTACTTTTTACAAAACTTCTGGATTCCTCTTGCGTCGGTTTTTGCTGAGTCGAAATTGCTGACGTTTTGCCAATCATCCTGTTGGCTTCTTCAGAGGTTAACTGAAACTGTGGAAGTTTCTATGAAAAATGAACATTTTGTATTAATTTTAGAGACTGAAGATGAACGCTGTACCCATATTAGAATCCCGTAGCATAGAAGCGGTTGACCTAATGCTAAATAAGTGTAACAGTTTTTTTATAAAGAAATTCTCGTAACATATAAAATATATGCAATAAAGATCTGATTTAGGGAACAACCCTCCCTCCCACCACTAATTTTCCTAATTCATTTATATATACATTAAATAATAGGAGCCTAGCACGGTTCCTGGTTCTGGGCAAAGCTTTGGTCACTGAAAACGTTTCCAATTTTTGTACATTGAGGCCTATCATATAATATATTTTTTTTAATTTTTGAAGTGATTGCATCGTTTCCTGGAGCACAATTGTTTTGTAAATAATTTAGATATTGGATTATCGCAATTACCGGGACTGAAGCAAAAAATATTAACCGTACACTTTTTTGTTTTATTATTATAGGAAAGATTGGCAACTTTATTTTAGTAGCCATTTTTCTCCTCTCCCTCATAAAATATTTATTGAAGATATTGGCCATACCTATTTTATCAGTTATTAAGATATCATCTTTGTTTAAGGATATGTTTTTATAAAGTCGGCTTTTACTTTCATTTGTGGCTTCATTAATTAGTTCATACATTTTTCTAATATCTTTATTATTTTCATTTCTATATAAAAAGAATTTTTTGATTTCATTATAATTTTATTCAGTAAATTTCGATAATTCCATGGATTTATCTTAAGGTAGTTCTTATTATTTCCTGAGATTTATATACAGTCTTAGTTAACATATGAATGAGAAAATCCACGGCCATAACATTCGAATTCGTCAACACGTGTTATACTGAATCATATTTGATAGTGTAAGTAAAGTGAACAAGGCGGAAAAAAATCTTTATTGTGGTTTTTAAGTTCAACAACCTACAATGTTCTAGTATTGAATTAATGCAATGTGTATCCAGAATATGCTCAAAACATAAGAGACAAAACTACTCCCTTACACTTTAAATTAACGGTCGAGAAAAAAATTGGACTCAGAGTCTGTCGCGCGCGACTACGAACGCTGGTAGGAGTTCTAATTCCAATTTATTTCCTAATAAGGGGAACTATCCAAATTCCCCGGGAAAGAGGCAGGGTACTTCCTTGAGGTGAGAGAGTGAAGACGTGCTGGCATAATGGAGCGAAAGATCTGAATGCAGCGCCCTGTCCATAAAGGACAAATCCACCACCCCTTCGAGTTTCCGGTACATTCTAGTCGATCAAGCGATCGGATGTTTTCGTTCATTAAAACTCCTACTACTAGACTAGAAATAAAATCAACCGTGTACGGATTTTGATTCTCAACAGCAGCAACAATATTCCACAAGGACTCCGAGATAAGCAACTGATATATTAATATATAAACTTCGGTGGAATCATTAAATAGCTTTTATGGTTGGTGTAGTGAGACTATTTACTCCTAAAATTATAAACAATAATCCTGGCGTGTAAGGTCCTTTGGTAGGTACATTGCTTTATCAAACTTATGGTGTCCAAGTTTGATGCCGACTGATGCAAAACCATAATTTTGTAGCTTCCGATTGCCTCTTATTAATGATAGACCTACCACAGAGTGCGCAAATCGACACTGTGTCGTTATGCACAAGGTTGAGGCGCCAGAAAAGTAAATGGCGTCATCCCAAAAACCGTAGAACCGGTCGCATTGGTTGATCGTGGAATGCTGCCTTACCGTTTCACTGTCAAGGTCGTTTAATTTGAGCCGAGACTCCCTGGCGTTTGCTTATCTAATGATGCATTCAAGGCCGGCTCTTTATACATCATTGATTCAAAGCGGATCCGACACGAGTGTCAGTAACATGGAAAATATTTTTATTCGATTAAAATGCGATCCAACGCACCGTGAAGACTCCCACTTCCCACACCAGCATGGCTGCGGTTCATTTACCTTATACAAGGTTAATTCGTTACAAGTAATGCTGCACCCTTGGTACAGCTTGACCATCGAGAATTTCATTCAAAATTTTATCAATCTTTTCAAAACTCCTAGATGGAATTATTGATAGGGAAGGACTAATAGTAATTATAGTTGTTCGTTGGTATGATGCTTACCATCATATAGGGTGATCACAGAATCCACGAGACCAACTACCAACTTTTATCGTTTATTATTATTATATATTTATTATTATTATATTATTATTATTGTTTTTTACAAATTTCACTTTTACACCGTTGCAACCATGAGAACACTTCACTTCCGACAATGACAATTCTGATGGTCACTAAAGGTGGTAAAAAATGTTCAATTTGACAAATTTGTTACTGAGGTGGCGTTTATTAAACTTGTTGAATAGTGTGCTAAATTCTTTGACGAATACATAGGTGTCAGATAATATTTGGAAAAATGACATTTTAATGGTTTGGACAACACCATTGAGCGATTTGCGAGTGTTTAACTCGCGGGTAGCCATTTTGGTACACGCAAAAGCGGTCGAACGGACATCAATAAATTCCGACGAACATGGGTTAGTTCGAAAATTGTATTTGCGTTCCATTTAAATTTCCATGGAAACCCCCATACATATAGCGTTCGGTTTGACTGTCAATATCAATTTATTAATCCCACTACAATTTCGACACCATTTTGTTAATTCTATAGCCCGTTTGTGTCGCATTTAGAAGGGAATTAAAATCCGGCGGCCAAAAATAAACTACGGAAAATCATTGCCAACGACGGCGATATATAATTTAAACAATTTTCGATTGTATAACAAGTCATAACATTTAATTATATATTAAACAGAGGTTGAACTTGACTATAAAGCTTTTAACGTTCTGTGAATATTTTAATTAAGGCAAAATGCGCAACGGCGACGTAAAAACAAATGCGGCGCGGACAATTGCGGATACTTTTCAATATTGCGCAAACTATGATTAAAGTAATGCGTGATTAGATTTCAGGAAGTAGTTAAAATCAACCACTTTGGAAACAGTGACTGTATTATTTAAAATGGTAATGTTTCATCAGACAATCTACAGACGGCCGGGCGCTGGAATGATTCGTTCAAAATTTATAGTACCCATCTATAGCTGTTGGGATAACCGCATTTAAGACAAGAAGAATGATGAGTTTAAAGTTCGCATAAGATTATGTTAATAGCTTTTTGAGTAATTGAACTGAGGTTGCTAAAACTTGGTTAAAATGCATTTAACACAATTAAATTAGAACAAATGTCCAGATTTTCACAGTTATTTATTGGTGCCTTTATCAAATACCTATATATATATATATATATATATATATATATATATATATATATATATATATATATATATATATATATATATATATATATATATATATATATATATAATATATATAATATAATATATCTTAGCATATAATAAAAGCCGAAACAGCTGTCATAAACCAATAAATAACGGTTAAAATCTGCACTTTCGTTGTCTCTTTGAGTAACATAAAATTGGAATATAATAGCTGTTGTATTTTTGGCTGGTTAGCCTGAAAACGATTAAGAGAAGTTGAAAGTAATCAAACTCCACAATACTCGGGTGGCTGCAGTCGACTTACCCAGGGTTTTCTTCGTCTCGCTTGGTGTTGGAACACTCCTTATATGTAGGTGTGGCGAACTCACCGAAATATCGCGATGTGAGTTTATGAAAATTGCCCAATGTCCCAAAATAAAATAAATAAGAGAGCGGTAGGGGGCACTTGGGGCCTGGGGCCGAAGATCATGCAGTGGATCTACGGTACCATGGTGGTGCCTATGCTCACGCATGGGGCAGTGGCATGGTGGCCGGGGACCAAAAGAGCGGGAGCAAGGCTAGTTCTTGACAGACTGCAGAGATTGGCTTGCCTCTGCATAACGGGCGCCATGAGAACGGCGCCCACGAGGGCCCTGGAGGCTCTGGTGGGGCTGCCCTCTCTGGCGGATCGGGTGCAGATGGAGGCGGCCAGGACAGCTGTGAGGCTGGCGAGCTGCGGGCTCTGGAGGGAGGGAACCCTCAATCGGGGTCCGTACGACATTTTAGAGGGCTGTCGCGGGGATCGCGGGGTCATGGGCATGCCGAGTGACGTCATGATCCCCGAGATGACCTTCTTTGATAAATTGACCTTTCTCTTTCCATCAAGGGAAGATTGGAGAGAGGGCAGAGTCGGCTCCTGGGATGGACTTGTCTGGTACACGGACGGGTCCAGAATGGGAGATCTGGCCGGAGCTGGAGCGTACTGCGAGACAATGGGATCAAGCTTGTCGGTCCCTCTGGGCCAGTACTGCACTGTGTTTCAGGCGGAAATTTTCGCTTTATTGATGGCGGCCAGAGAGGTGCTTCGGCTCAACTACGGAAGCAGGAGAGTCTTCTTCTGCTCGGATAGTAGGGCTGCACTCATGGCGCTGAAGTCAGTGCGTACGCGCTCCTTGTTGATAAAAGAGTGCAAAGGGGTACTGAGGAGGGTGGCTGAGGAGAGAAAGGTCACGTTGGTCTGGGTTCCGGGTCACACCGGTGTCCGGGGCAATGAGGCAGCGGACGCCTTAGCCAGGGAGGGCTCCTCGCATAGGCATATAGGGCCAGAGCCCCGCTTGGGGATCGCCCCGTGTGTGAGGCGGGGAGCTCTCGAAGCCTGGGCGAGAGACCGGGCCGCGGGGGGCTGGAGAGTTGCTCCGGGAATGAGGCAGGCGAGGCTTATGATGGATGGGCCCGCTCTTCCTCGGACCAGGGAGCTGCTTAGACTGACCAGGAGGGAGTGTAGAGCACTAACAGGGGCCTACACAGGACATTGCAGGCTTAGGAGGCATCTCTGCTTGCTAGGCATTGGAGACGACCCGGAGTGTAGGTGGTGCATGGAAGGGGAGGAGACCCCGTATCATCTGCTCACCGAGTGCCCTGCCTTGACATGGGCAAGATTGGGAGTCTTCGGAACGGCCCTGATCGATCCGAACTCAGTGCACGGTATTGGGCTAAAGGAGTTGCTGACCTTCTACAGGAGGGGCGGCATTCTGGACGCCCTCTAGAGCGGCCTGGGGGCACAACGGGCCCATCTGGTGGCCTAAGTGCTTGGACGCCCGCGAGGGCGCCCCCCTTTAATGCCAATAGCCAATACCAATACCAATACCAATACCCTATTAAACTCTTCCCTTATATCTCATCGTCTCCTTATATCGATTCGTATCGCATTTTAAATTTAACCTAATTTTTCGAGTTCAATACAGCGGCTTGTGCTGCTGTCTACAAAGCATAAATTCTCTCTAACCACGCTTGGCGTAAAGTGCCTTCAGACATTTTGACATTTTGTTGTCAGCGCAAAAATGAAAAACAATGATAAAAAATGGATTTGTTTAGCAAATAATCAGAGATTTATCAAAGCGTATTTACACGCGAGCGAGAATAAAAAACATTCACGGCGAACTATTGTTGCATTAAACATCTGCTATTACTTATTGCAAAAAAAAAAATAATAGCAGTTTCGATCAATAATTAACAATTGCTAATGATCCCTAGTTTGCGGTAAACTAACCAAAAAAAGATCAAATAAGAAAAGACTTACTCTTTTTCTTACTATATGCTAATCCGGATCCAAGTGAGCAAAACCAGCTCGAAGGATCAAATGTTATGAGGTGGACCGTATTTTTGGCTGGTCAGCCTCTGGTCTGGTCACTTAATGTCCGAAAATAAATAACTATGTGAACGACTAGCGGCTTCATCGAAATAGAGAAGCTAACTGCAGACGACTTAAAATCTCGAATACCAAAAAAATCAAAATAAAAAGTCAACTGAAAAAAAGCATTCGGTGTTCGAAGTGTTTTCGGAGCGCGAGCACTGAAGATGCCAAGTGATACGTCTGCAGGATTCCAGTCGGATGATTATATATATATATATATATATATATATATATATATATATATATATATATATATATATATATATATATATATATATATATATATATATATATATATATATATATATATATATATATATATATATATATATATATATATTGCGATTGAATCATTTCAAAATATTCTCGCTGAATCTAAAAAAAACAAATAAAAAACGATTAGAACTGGAGTAATGGCATATTTTCATAAAATTGAATGGTATGTATCTAAATTTTCTTTCTTTGGTCCTTTAGGCTAGGAATAAGATATCGGCATGCAGCTTTCACTAACTTGTTTAGGTATCATTTACTTAAAAAAAAAGCATTGAATTCTCACCACCATTTTGGAATTACTCGAGTCAAGCTTGGCTTCAAGAAACACATTTATGAAATTGACGTCAGAGAAAAATAGCTATTAAAGCTCCCAGCAACATCTGCCCCGGTCTTGTTTAGGCCACTTTAGTAATAAACTTTTTTACCGCCTCTGCGGCGAATAGTTTTTGAAATACCGTGCTTTTTATTCTTATCTAACCTTTCTGTATATGTACTGCTTGACATGTTGACTTATTTTATTTATTTCAATATTCTTATTTTTTCGTCGTCGAGGTAAAAACTTCAAATTGAACAACTTGTTTATTGGAATGTCCACTAAGAATCACGTTGTAAACTTTGTGCAGATTTTCGCGCGTTGAGGCGTGTTTTGTTACACGAGACTTTAGCACGACCACTTGCCGTTCGTGTTGGCAAGAACCTTCGGCGTTGCGCGTTACATTAAAATTGCAAATGGCGAAGAATTTTTTCAATCCGCCCAGTCGAACGGCCTATGTTTCCGTGTCACGTGGAGGCTCTTTAATTCGCGTGACGTGAAACAATTGAGTAACGTCCAAAGACGAGAATAGTCAATGCAGAGAACGGAGCATGGGCCAGGACAGATTGTGTAACGCACGTCGAAACTTATTGCGGCAATCTGTCAGCCGTGAGGCCATAAAACTGCTGAATGGTACTTTTTAACAGCGTATTTGCCAGTGTATTTGTATTTTAATTTTCTTCAATAAGAATTTACAGAAATAAATATAGATAATTTAGAATATAAGACGAAAAATACTTATTATGATATAAAAACATTCACTGAACAATACCAATTAAAGGTGTTTTAGAACTGCTATTTCAAATTATTCTCAATTTTGATCGAATAATAGTTTGAGTAGCTGACATAGAGCATGTTTCAAAACGAATTGAGTGTGCTAACGGTCCTTTCTGAATACTCGATTTTTAACTAGCAAAACAAATTACCGCATTTACCTTTGAGGCATCGGTGTCAAGTTCCTTTCACGCTGTCTTTGTAGTAATTCCTCAGTGGAAAGATGTGTTTGACTTTGCACAGGTAATATATTATCACAGTGACTTGATGTAGATGAGAACGTATTATCGTACTGTTTGAAATAAAATTCGATATCAAACCCAAGCAAACAAGCGTAGTTTGCTTTTGCGTGGGAATGTGTGTTCGCAATAAGCCGCGTTACCAGGTATAATGTGTTTATAGAAGTTCGCAAGACTCCCTAATATACACAGAAACTAAGCCAAGCTTCGATGTGTTGGTATATATACCTACGGATCCCATAATATTGCCGCGTCGTGATTACACAAACGGAAGCCTCTCTTTGCCTTAACATCTAAGAGAAGAGCGTTCCTCAACGGTTCTAGCGTCTCATCAAGTAGCTAAAAAATTTAGGGAGGCATACCACAACATACTACAACTGACAATTTAATATTTGGGAGGCTTAACCTGATCCCCGGCCGTTTATGTTATGAGATTTGATTAAACCCCCAAATGTGAAGCGAGTTTGTCAAAAATTTCAGCATTTGATAAGTTCGATCCTTAAGTAACGTAGTAACAAGAAAAGGATGCTTAATAATAATTTGCTACATCATTGAACAAGTGAATATTAAATTCTAACCCTTGATGTACTCCACTTCGCAGGAACAAGAAAAAAAGTTCCAAATATGATATAATGGTATCCGATTTGATGAAATTGTGTCATTTGTGATTCTCATACTTTGAGGAATATTTTTTTTGTATCTCGTATGTACCTAAGTGGAACATTTTCTTTCTTATGGGTTCATTCACCTCTCGCAAATAACAGTTCATAGAAATTCAATAAACTTCTGGTTTATTAACAATCCTATTTTCTCAAAAAGAACTATAAAAAAAAGTGTCCGCAAATTCAGATCGTCTTCAGTAACAGTCATACATATCAGGTAGATTGTTGATCATCTTTGATAAACATGGGATTTCGAATCCACAAATTTATAAAAATAAATACGTAAATAAATACGTAAATATTTTTACACTTTTATATGCAATTTTTAATAGTACAGTATAAAACGCCGCTGGATTGTGTATAATAATAATATTTATTCTGCAGTCAAAATACAAGAATGCATATAATTAAGTTACAACATTAACTTTAACTGCAAAAAGGTAGCTGAAGGCAATGACAATTTAGGCACTATGAAAAAATTAGGCGTTATGTTTGATTAATTATTATTTTTACTGTTCAAAATTCAATAATAAAATGGACAATTTTATTTCGTCCAAATTAATTTTACTTGTTAATACAAATGTAATTTCCGCGTATTTGTTAAATTAAAAATACTTCTTACCATAGCTAACGTTAATGGAAATACAGACCCGGTTCTTCAAGCGCATTCGGTTACTGGCTAATTTATAAATTATGCACACGTCACTTTGAATATTGCAGTTTGGAAAATTAGATTTTGAAATTGTCGATAAGGCGACCTAAAAACGAATAAATATTTAAAGAGATAGTGGCCCGAATTGGATAATTTATTAGCCGGTAAAGTGAATTTTGTATAGGAATCTAGGTAAATCGCTGTGACAGGTGGTAGCCATTAGTTCTAGCCGTTTATAGATCGACGTGTTCCTGCTCTTATTTTTATTATTATAATGCAACTTTCTTAATTTAAGTGCCGTTCGGAAATCGGTGCTCGTTTGGATCGCCAAATCTGACTGAGTATATCGTTGCGTAGCAGAAAAAAACGTTATTAATCAACATAGACTTGCGCCATTTGCAGCGCATGATCGCGTCCATAAAGCTCAAATTTGTCAAATAAAAATTCCGGCGACAAATGCACGTTGCGGTTGTCGATCGAACGGGACCGGTTTTTATGAAATAGCTTTGTAAATACCGGCAATAACATGTTGTTTTGTCACCGATTTTTACCAAATTCGTTCTTTTTTTTTTGACATTTTTCGCGTCGGTTTGCCACTACCGATTGGCGCAATCTTGATCCAGTAATTAGACGTTACTTCATTTTGTATTGGCGCAATCTGTTCAGTAAAATTAAAATACAAAGATGTTAGGAATTTTGCGCGGCGCCTCGCCGTTCTCAAAACAAAAAATATTGGCAAACTGTTAATTGTTAAAACTTTTATGACGACCACTTAAAAGATTAGATTCAAAGACGATTACTGACACTTTCAAGTTTTTTGGGCACATTACAAAAATTAATCATTCTCCAACACACATTTAATTTACTTTTTGAAAACACTCATATGTTAGCCATCACCAATGAAATGCATATTATTAATTAAAAAAATATATTTGAAAAAAAATTAATTAACCACTCAGTTTCAACAGTTGAAGAACTCTGCGAAGCTCAGAGAATATAAAACTTCTTTTGGGATTTGACTTCATATGCCCGGTCATTGATAAAGTCAATTTAGATACCAAAATTTTTATATTTTAATTTATGTTATTGTAAGTAATTGCTAATTTGTTAGTTTTACTAAACAGGAACTTAAATTTGCTTTTGTTATTAAATTTAATTCAATTGTATATTTTTTATGCTCATTTTAAATTTAAATCCGCTCCTAGACGTTATTATTTTCAAATTCAAATTCGAATTAAAATTTCATATGTCACAATGCCAAAATACAATATAAATTTAAAATATTAGCCAATAAAAACTAGACATCAAATCTAAGGACATCAAATTAAAATGCCTGAAATCAAAAGGATTCAAGATTCATCATGGAAATTAAATTTGTCATTTAAATTGAAAGAAATATATTAAAACTAAACGAAATAATGAACTCCGCTTAATATAGCGAATGATTTTTGTTTGAACTGTAAAACTTATTGGTTTTAGCCGTATTCTAGAGGAGTAGAATTGTACCTATGATGATTGTTATGCGTCTCAAGAATGGCAAGTAGACGGTCATACTTGTGCCCGAGTGTTTAAAATTAGAATTATAATTGGTGGCACTATTCGTTCTTGGCTATCTTTTCTGAATTTCCTGCTGATGAACGGAATAGCCAAACTGCCCCAATATGTTCAAAACTTTTCACCACCAAAACTCATCATTCGGGGTTGTATTGTTGAAATGTTGCAATGCAATGTTTAAATGTATGTCAACTATCGTATCAGGTCACCACAGAGAAATACAGGAAGAACTGAAACTGATACGATTGTTGACTGTGCAACTCCAGTCATACTATTCATACATTTCAACAATGCAATTCTGAATGATGAGTTTTGGTGACGAGAAACTGTATTAAATGAAAATAAAAAGACCCAGAAGAATAATTGGGAGAGATCTGAGCAGTTAGACAGTTTAAGGGAAAACAGAAATATCTAATATGTTAACATAACTTTGTTTAAATCAATAATATGATAATTTCACAAAAATATACTGAAAAGGAAGCTACTGTAGGTTGTAAATGTGAATAAACCGATTTATACGAAGTTTGTTATGGACGAAATCGCTTCAAAACGAAATATAACGGTACTTCACCTTCCGCCCTATCACTGTGAATTAAACCCCAAAAAAGTATAATGGGCGCAAGTGTCGCTCATCCAAAAAGGAATAAAGACAGTAAGTATAGAGAAGAAGAAAAGGAAATTGAAAAAAGAAACCGTTGTTTTTTATACAGGGTTATGGGAGAACTGAAAAACTGCCGCCTTACCGTCATTGTAAGTCATGGAAGAGAGGAAGTAAAGAATAACCACTATTGGTAGTTTACCAACAATAGAACAAGTGCACGATAAAGAGGTTGTCTAACTTCGTGGTTAGCGCAGAGAAATAAGAATTTAAAAATTCCAACAACAATTATTATTATATTTTTTCCGTAAGTAACCGAAATTCCGAAATTTGAAATGAATTTATTTGAACTTTACAATATAACCTTTAAGTTGTCCACTTTGTTTAATGGCCTCTGTCATCCCAAATAGCACATTTTAAGCCATTGGAAATCTAACGAACCGTCCGTTCTGAGCAAATTGGCTGTCCAGTGGATACCCGGGATTCGCACTTGCTCTATCTTGTGATTATCCATTGAACTCAACTAATTTCACAACTTTTGGAGGTCATTTTGGAATGCAGACATGGAATTCAAGTATGGGTTATTTTTGGAATGAAGGAACTCATTTCTCTTGGGACAGAAATCAAAATTTTGAAACCCAAAAACGTTTCTTTTAAGAAATATTCAAATCTTAATTTTTTTTAACTATTTACTACAAAATTGTTTGGTTGTGATGGTAAGATTTGACCAAAGTAATATGAAATTTAGTTTGTGGTTAGTGACGTTGAATAATTCTAGGCGGTAGCATCCCACAATGACTATTCTTAAAATCAATTATTAATAAAATATAGGGCGCTTAATTGAAAACCACTGCAACGCAACAGATAGGTCTGATGTGTTCTTAGAATCCTCGAATTAAGATTGGGTATCCAGAAGTTGTACATTGAACATGTGTCATGTCGTGCTATCTGGGATTTCAAACACATTTTAGAACTTTTTTACATTTACAAAAAGAACGTAGTGTATATAAATAGTATATTATGCAACAAGTACGGTAAACAGCATTTGACTCACGAGTTTATTTGACACGAGCGGAGCGCAGCGGAGCAAGTTTTAAATATACGAGTGAGTAAAAAAGTTTACCGAACGTGTTGCATACTATACTTTTTCTACGACCGTTAGTTTCTGGGTACATTTTCGCAAAACGACACGAATGCTTTACTGACTTGACCCTCAGAATTGACAAACGTCAAAATTCAAAGCGTGGGAAATATGTCCAAAAGAATCCGACCGCTCCCAAACCCGAGCGTTAAATCCCGGAAATGTCCGAAGTGGCTCGGATTCGTGGGAAACGAAACTGACGTGGTACTCTTCAATTCGTTTCTTTAATTGAACTGTTTTCTATCTGTTACAGGTAAGCCAGCAGCGAATCCCCTACGACCTAGGGTAAGTCACATCGTAGCTATGGTCTAACTATAACTACGAATAATACTATATAACAACTAAATACTTAAACAATGTTTGTCGTCGTCAACCGAAGTGCTTCATCGAGATCGGGCGAAAAGAAATACGGGTTTGTCAACTCAATGGGTAAGTGGTGGCAAACAAAGGACGCGAAAAAAAAAAACGATCCAAAAAAGTAATTAAACTGTCTAGTCGCCAAAATAATGGCGTTATTAACGTCGAGTATTTTACTGCCAGCACCTCGGCAACACTAAATAAAGTCTGTCGTTTATTTATTAAAAAACTAATTTGCTTTTTCTGACACTTGCGCGAGGCTCATTTTGCAGTTGCGGTTTGGTTTGTATCGTGGTTCGAGGTAAAACTCTTACTTGGGATGAAAGGTTTTGCCCGCGTAGTCTTGTTAACATTCAAAATTGAATTCTTATTAAATGTCCACGCGATTCTTTAGAGTTTACCATATCAGATTCATTTACACTATTTATTTATGTCAATTTTCGTAATATATTCACTCGCACGCAGCCAACAAATTAAAACATGTTTCTGTAATGTGAAACAGATCTGAGAGGGCCCAGCTGCATTTTCAGCTAGCTCGATATACCCACATGTTTGTTATATTTTGAACTGTAGTCATTCAAAAATCATTTATGCCAAAAATAAAAAACTTACGGCGTGGATACACTGAATTTAATATACATTTTTTTAATTTATATTTTCAATCAAGTTTTTCTGGATTACGAAAACACAAACACCGGCTTTATGTTAAAAATAACTGTAGCAAACAAGATGAAATAAAAAAAGAAAAAATAACTTCCAGCTCAAATAGGAGAAAAGCGTAACTTCTGTATCCAACGGTCTCGGGGAAGCTTTGATATTTTAAGATCTCTTGACGTCACTAGAGTTCAGATTTGTTATTGCGCTAATCACAATCGTAGCGTTAGAGATTTTGAGATATCAAAACAGTGCCATACACAACATTTTCTATTTCTGTCTCAACAATTTCATTAATTCCGACCAAAAGTTTACTTTGGTGATGTTTAAGGTCCTGCTTTGGTAACCTGTTAAAATTGATTTCAGCTATCTAGGTTGTCTCAAAAGTGTTAAAAGTTTAAAACTGATATTTTTTGAATTCTATATAATATAGCATTTTTGGATTCCCTGATTAAAATCAGCGTATTGTGTTTTGTCAAAATGTAACATAATTTTAAGTATTCTTGAAATTAAGTTAATTAATTAATTTTAATAAATGTCAGCAAAACTTACAGCAGATTGTAACAATAGATTAAGTGTGATGATCAACTTGCCATATTATTACTCTAAAAACAACTTTAAGTAGTTATAAATTTATTAATTTAAATGGAACAGCGTATTTTTTAGTTTACCCATCAAATTGCGTTTTATTGCATACGTGAATTTGCAAATGTCAGATAATTTCTTCAAGCTTAAAGCTGTTAGTTTTGTCTCATGTCGCTATAGGGGTATTATTTTTTGTAATGAAAATTGCCTGGATTGATAGAAGAAGTCCGTTTAAACATTAGAGCATTAATGTATCGGAAAGTCATTTCGTTTTTTCCCGTCAGAGGACTTAATTACGTTTTTTCGAAACCAACTTCACACTTAAGCTGCATAACCATTATATGTCTTGAGAGCTGATATTGCAAGGCTTGTGTGTGAAAAAGTTCTATTAATTCTACGCAGTAGTTTTTGGTTGATGCCCTTTTAAATATGGAGAGCAATAAGCAGCATTTTCGTCATATTTTACTTTTTTACTTCAGAAAAGGTATAAATGCTGTCCAAGTGAGAAAAAAATTGACGGATGTGTATGGAGAAGGCGTGTTAACAGTACGCCAGGTCCAGAACTGGTTTGCAAAATTTCGATCCGGCAATTTTGATGTCGAAGATGCACCACGGTCTGGAAGGCCGGTCGAAGCCGACAAAGATGCGATAAAGGCATTAGTTGATGCATATCGGCGAATAACCACACGAGAGATCGGTGAAAGATTAAATTTGTCGAATTCGACTGTTTATGGCTATTTGAAAGGCATGGGCTTAACCTCGAAGCTCGATGTGTGGGTGCCCCATGTCCTTACGGAGCGAAATTTGTGTCGTCGCGTTGACGTGTGTGATTCGCTCCTCAAACGTCAAGAAAATGATCCACTTTTGAAGCGGATTATTACTGGGGACGAAAAATGGGTTGTATACAACAATGTTAAACGCAAGCGGTCATGGAGCAGAAAAGATGAACCGGCTCAAAGCGTGTCAAAAGCCAACATTCACCAAAAAAAGGTGATGCTCTCCGTTTGGTGGGATGTCAAAGGAATCGTTTTTTTTTGAGCTTTTGCCGGACAATACAACGATTAATTCAGAAGTCTATTGTCATCAACTGGACAAATTGAATGATTCACTTAAAGAGAAGAGGCCCGAATTAATCAACAGGAAGGGTGTAGTGTTCCACCAGGATAATGCGAGACCTCACACAAGTTTGGTCACTCGCCAAAAACTTTTACAGCTTGAATGGGACGTACTGCAACACCCACCATATTCTCCAGATCTGGCGCCTTCCGATTACTATTTGTTCCGGTCCCTGCAAAATTTTTTGGATGGCAAAACCTTTACCTCAAATGAAGATGTCAAAAACCACCTGAACCAGTTTTTTGCCAGCAAGGACGAAAACTTTTATGAGAGGGGAATTATGTTACTGCCAGAAAGATGGCAAAAGGTGTTGGACCAGAATGGCCAATATATAATTTAATAAAATATTTATTCATTATACGAAAACTGTCTTTCATGTTCCCCAAAAAAAACGAAATGACTTTCCGAACAACCCAATAGCTTCAGCTTAATGGTGCACCTCCTCATTATCTTGGCGAGCAATTTTTATATGCCAATTTTCAAAACCGGTGGATTCGAAGTCACGGATTTAAAAATTAAATTAGTTTTCTTACTTTCTTTACTTATATTCCGCGTTAATATTATCTACCTAATTGTTGCACCCGTTGATCTTTAAAAATGGCGCAATTTGCAACTCGCACTAATGTCATGTGGTAATAAAGTTTCAAAAGAAGTGATCAATGCGTCATAAAATAGACGTAGACGAAAGTGACTACCATTTCATTTCATTTATTCATTTACTTCTGTCATTTATTTAGATAAAACCATAATTTCTTGTATTCTATGAAAATGCGAAGAGTTAGCATGATATACACCTTTAAACCATTCGATAGCTAATTTAAAATTACATTCCCTGGCAAGTTCAATCAAGTTATGCTCACTTAAAGTTGTTATTATATTAAAATAAAATTTTGACCACCCTTTTATAATCGAGTTATAAAATGTGGTCTAGGATTACACTTTACTAAAGATTGAGGAAATTGAGAAATTAAAATTAGGTTACATTTTGACAAAATTCGAATTATTTAAAAAACCTTTAGGTTTAGGTACCCTAAATGTTATTCAAATAGACACTTCTGTGGCCGTGGAATCCAAAAATGCTATAATATAGGATTTTTTGGAATAACCTGTACAGTATGAAAGTAATTTTAATAATTTACCATAATAGGACTTTACGAATGCTAAATGTAAAACTTTTTTTCTACTCCCGCCTGTAAAATACCTAATTACACACCGATTAAGCTTGCTGGAAGCGTCACTTTCGTTTTCCCACGGATCCCAGCCACTTCGGACATTTCCGGGATTTTACCACAGGGGTTTGGGAGCAATCGAATGTTTTACGAGATATTTCCCACGCAACACGTTCGGTAAACTTTTTAAGTCACTCGTTTTTTAAACATTAGCTCCTCTGCGCTCCGCTCGTGTCAAATAAACTCGTGAGTCAAATGCCATTTACCGCACTTGTTGCATAATATACTATTAAAAACTTTGTGCGTTAATAATATTTCGAAGTAAAGACCACTGTCAGTGGCTGAATTGCGAAAATCGATGTTGGTGCTCATCGGCGGGCTGTTGGAAAAAAAAGTACACTTTTAAAGTACATGTCGCGGCAAAATTACATGGGATACGTAAAACACACAACCCCGTCATTGGTGTAGACGACGTTGGTGCGATTTGCTAAAACCCCTCTTCATTAAACTTTCATCCGGTAGCTCGTAACTATATCTGGGAGCTCTAATGCACTTGCACGGGACCTCGTAAAACGCTTGTCTTGACAAAGTTGCGGTGATAAAAACGATAATTTTGGGGTAAAATTTACCTGTTACGCTCGAGGAAGCGGTTTTCGTGTAATGGATTCAAGGAGTTTGTGTGCATGAAAAAAAAGCTGCTGTAAGGTTTTAGTAACCTGAATTGAAGTCTGTGCAGCGGAATGCAAATCTGCTGCTACTAGGCAGATGGGGATGACTCGGCAATGCGAAAATGATGATTTCCTCCCCCAACCGGAATAATGGATGCCGAGAATGATCGATTAAAGAAACGAGCGGCGCTTTCCTTTCCAAATATTTACATTTTCTTCAAACTCTAGCCTTAAGTAAATTCCTAAATGTTATATAGAATGAAAGAATATAATATACCAAGGTGATTTTTCAAAGAAACTTCCGCACACAAAAACTAGCTGACGTTTCGCCAATCAACCTGTTGACTTCTTCAGAGCTTAACTGAAAAGTTTCATGACTGAAACTGGAAGGTTGTTATTAGTTTCTATTTCAATGGTGAAACCTATGTTAGGGTGTATAGAGTTTAAATGTCTAAGAAAATCTACTAAGGTTTCTTGACCATGAGGCCAAATAACAAAAGTATCATCATCGTAGCGTTTTTATAATTCTGGTTTTAGATGGAAGGTGTCTAGGGCTTTGTTCTCAAAGGCTTCCAAAAACATATTCGTGATGACTGATAATAAAATGGAGAACCCATGGCTGTTCCCAAAGTTTGTTCAAAAATTTGACCGTTATAACAAAAAAATGTTCCAAAGATTTTTCAATTAAGATAAGATTAAGAAGCTTTGGTTCCAGATTCTCGGATTTTAATATATC